GATCAAGACCGATGACAAGGGGCAGGTCACCATCTACAAGAGTAGGCTGGTGGCGAAGGGGTTTATGCAGAAGGAGAAGCAGGACTTCAACGAGATCTTTGCTCCCACTGCCAAACCCCCTACCCTCCGTGTCTTGTTGGCAGATGCAGCTGTTAGTGGGAAATTCATCATTCAGATGGATATTTCAACGGCATTCCTGAATGGGATTTTAGAGGAGGATGTGTACATGACGCAGCCGCCTGGGTATGAGGATGGTACGGGCAGGGTGTGCAAGCTCAACAAGTCCATCTACGGCTTGAAGCAGGCGCCACGCTGCTGGTACCAGAAGTTGGCAGCTGTTTTAGAGGAGATGGGATTCAGGACCAGCAGCTGTGATGAGAGCCTCTTTCTCAAGGGCGAGGGGGAGAAGCTGGTGCTGTTTCTGGTTTATGTGGACGACATTCTTCTCTTCAGCAGCAGCATGAAGGAGATCCAGAAAGTGCAGCAGCAACTGATGGAAAACTTCAAGTGCAAGAACCTTGGGGAGGTAAAGTACTACCTCGGGATGCACGTGGAGAGGGATCCTGATCACAGGTGGTTGAAGCTGCACCAGGAGAAGTTCATCAAGGAGCTGGGGGAGAAGTATGGGATTGAGAATGAGCGCAAGGTTGCAACTCCCCTGCCAGCAGAATTCAAGCTTGTGAAGGCTGCAGAGGATGAAGGGGTTGAAGCCGAGGAGCAGCAGCAATTTCAGTCCTTGGTGGGCAGCCTCTTGTACGCAGCAGTTCACACGAGGCCCGATATCTCTTTCTCGGTTGGGCAGCTGGCTAGGGTGGTGCAGAATCCATCAGAGGAGCAGGTGGATGCAGCTGAGCGTGTGGTGAAGTACCTGAACTCTCACCCAAGCATTGGAGTTCAATACTCCGCATCTGCACAGGTGAAGCAGAAAGGGGTGGAGGTGCTGAAAGAGAAGGGGGAGAGGCTTGGAGAAGGCAAGCTATTTCTCACTTGCTTTACCGATGCTACGTGGGCTTCTGAGAAGGAGGATTCCTCATCTGTGGGAGGATACATCTGCGTAGTTGGGGGAGGACCTGTTAGTTGGAGGTCCAAGAAGCAGACGGGGACGGCACTCTCTTCCGTAGAATCAGAGTACATGGCGATGTTCCATGGGGTGAAGGAGGTGATTTGGCTGAGGAGGCTGTTAGAGGAGATTGGCCAGGAGCAGAAAGTTGCTACGCCGCTGTTTTGTGATAGCAAGGGGGCTCTTGGGATGGCCAGAAACGCTGTGCTTCATGGGCTGAACAAGCACATGCGTATCAAGTGGCACTGGCTGCGTAAGGAGGTGAAGAGGGGGACGGTGCATCCGATCTACATCAAGACTCACCAGCAGCCAGCAGACTTTCTCACCAAGAGGCTTGCGGATGAGCCTCATTGGCGTTGTGTGCGCATGAGTGGAATGAGCATGAACTAGCATGGAATGACGGGGATGCAGCCGGCAGGCTGAGGGGGAGTGTGTTGGGTGCAAATGCACATTGCACGACATCCTGCCGTCTGTTTGTACGAGTATGCGTGTGCGAATGCATTTGCGTGTGAATGGTGTGTTCGTGTGTTTGTTTGCTTTCGCATTTTTTGCTTGATGCATTTGCAGGTACTCGCGCAATGTGCGCTTCGGCACAACATTGTATGCGCTATGAACAGTGCAAGCAGAAAGGACGAGCTCGCAAAGGAACCCAAGATGGAAGCTTTGCAGTTCGGTTGAATTGATTGCGCAGATTCAGTTCTATCCAACTCGAAATTGTACTGTTTTGTTTGGTTAACTATAGTGTAGCAGGGAAGGCACTATAGGGGTACAATTTAGGTAAAGGTTGGATGTTGTTTGTCTGTATCTGCATGCTACAAGGCCAGGGGAAACCAGCGGAACCAGCATTTGGCTGGTTGGGCAAAGACAAAACAGGTTCTGTTTTTAGAACCTGAACCTGGTTGTTGTTTTCCCAGGTTGGAAAAACAGAACCAGAGGTTGTTTACCAACCTACCACCTGCTATTTTGTCCAGCCAGGTTGGTTCTGTTGCTTGGAATTATTTGGGATCATCCCTGGTTGTTCCCAGGTTGATTCCCAAGGTCCTTGCTAGCTAGAACTATTTAATCCTTCTCTGTTTGTACCTGAATATAGTCAAATTGATTCATGTGAATTCCTTCCTCGCTGGAATTTCGTTTCTATGCGGTTCGTTGGCGGAATGCTACCCGAGTCAACGCTAGTACGCTAGCACTCTAATGCTAGGCAAACACCGTCTGAGCCATAACTTCGTAATGGCAGAACTTTTCGCGAGGCAACTTGGCTCATTTTAAAGCTCTTGGAGCGAGCTTCGATATAGCAAATTCTCAGCTTAATCCGATCGACGGTCTGCACGGCACGCTGCGCGACGTTCAAGGTACTCTTGCTGTTTTGACTAAGTCCTTCTTGATCCCTCTCTCTACAAACTCGGACCCGAGGATAGGGGCTGGTCTTGTACCAGGCACCCAGGGACCCTTGGAGGTGACCCCGAGGAGAGGTTTTAAGTTTGATTAAGTCCTAATAGCTTGAGTTTATTAGGCCCTTACACCAACAGGAGGCACTATAGGGGTACAATTTAGGTGAAGGTTGGATGTTGTTTGTCTGTATCTGCATGCTACAAGGCCAGGGGAAACCAGCGGAACCAGCATTTGGCTGGTTGGGCAAAGACAAAACAGGTTCTGTTTTTAGAACCTGAACCTGGTTGTTGTTTTCCCAGGTTGGAAAAACAGAACCAGAGGTTGTTTACCAACCTACCACCTGCTATTTTGTCCAGCCAGGTTGGTTCTGTTGCTTGGAATTATTTGGGATCATCCCTGGTTGTTCCCAGGTTGATTCCCAAGGTCCTTGCTAGCTAGAACTATTTAATCCTTCTCTGTTTGTACCTGAATATAGTCAAATTGATTCAAGCGAATTCCTTCCTCGTTGGAATTTCGTTTCTGCGCTATTCGACGGCGGAATGCTACCCGAGTCAACGCTAGTATGCTAGCACTCCAACGCTAGGCAAACGCTGTCCGAGCCATAACATAGTAATGGCAGAACTTTTCGCGAGGCAACTTGGCTCATTTTAAAGCTCTTGGAGCGAGCTTCGATATAGCAAATTCTCAGCTTAATCCGACCGACGGTCTGCACGGCACGCTGCGCGACGTTCAAGGTACTCTTGCTGTTTTGACTAAGTCCTTCTTGATCCCTCTCTCTACAAACTCGGACCCGAGGATAGGGGCTGGTCTTGTACCAGGCACCCAGGGACCCTTGGAGGTGACCCCGAGGAGAGGTTTTAAGTTTGATTAAGTCCTAATAGCTTGAGTTTATTAGGCCCTTACACCAACAAAAGTCGGCGTCTGCGCCAACTGGGGTGGTGGCTCTGTGGGCAATCATATCGGTGACGAAGTCGACGCCGAACAGGTTGCACGGGAGGCTTGCCCATGTCGGCATAGACACCATCACGAGCTCGGCGAGTACAACGTCGCTATTTGCCTGGACCTCAAGCCAACTCGTCGTATGTCTCCTGCGTCGGCGGGAAGTTGGCGCAGCACACGTTCCCCGACAAGGGCTCGGATGTCGACGAGGTCCTGGCCGTCGTACACATTGTCATGATGTTCAACCCAGGTGGGGCGTTCGACTAGCTCCCAGGTCCCCATGCCGATGAGACTGCAGCGCTTCCAGCTTGCCAGTGCCTTCTTCACCATCATCGTGGAGATGTCCTAGTGGTGCTCGGGGTCGGCGTGCATGTCGGGGTTGAGCACATGCAGTTCTTTATCCTCCTCAGCCTCGTCGTATAGCAGGTCGTCGTCGACCTTCTCGTACACCGTGGTGAAGGCGGTCGGTACGAAGAAATCGAGCGCCCTCTGAATTCGGCTTGTACGCTGTGGTCCAGGATGGACCTCCACCACATCGTTGTCAGTGCGGAGATAACTACTACAACTGGAGCTAGACTACGAACTAGGCACGGGTGCTCGTGTGATCTCTGCGTTCATCCACTTAGTCGTTTAAGCACTACTTGCTGGTTCACAGGGAAAGTCGGCAAGAGTTTCACAGGCAAAGGTTCACAACAATGGTACAATGAAGTTGGCAAGACTAGACTACATCAGAGCTAGCATGCAAGCAAGTCTACTGCCAGAGCAGCACGGTCGACCGTGTGCCAGCACGACTTGGTCGACCGCGCTCCAGCAGTGCAGAGTCGCGGCTTGCCAATGCTGCAAGTCGACGGCGTGCCAACGTCGCAGGTTGACGGCGTGCCAACGTTGCTCCCGTAGGACAGCAGCACACCTGCTTCGCATGTGATTGGTGTGCAGTGCCTCGTCACCTGCACAGCGCACACACCAAATCAACTTCGTGCTGACGACTGATCCTGATCAGCCACGTCGACCTCTGGATACCACCACCGAGGTCGTCCTCTCCAACTCCACCTGGGCGACCGTCGCACTCTTCCGCAGAACCTCGTCACCCAGGTAACCTGGTCGACCGGGCAACCAGGTCGACCACTGCTCCTGTTTGTGCCCGTCGTCCTCCCAAGTCAACAGCCACCTCCAGTCGACCTCACCAGGTCGACCACTACCCCTGGTCGACCAACTCCAGGTCGACGTCACTCCTAATCGACCAGCTCCTCGTCGACCAGCACAGTTGTCAGCCGACCCCCCACGTCGGCTACCTTAAGTTGACGTCACCAAGTCGACGCCCTCCGCAGGTCGGCTTCCCAGGTCGACCTCCTTGAAGTCCGCGCCATCCTGAAGTCGGCGCCCGTGTAGTGGCAACCGTGCAGGTCGACCAGCTCGCCCACTGCTGCAGGTCGGCTGCACCCCTACACCCGACCACGAAGTCGGCTCCGCCCAAGCGAGGACGGGGCCAACTCACAACTCCCGCTGATAGTCAGTGGACTCCTCAGCGCCCGACTGCTTCCCTCCATCTTCGCTGGCATCGCTGCCCTCAGTGTCTTGTTCCACCACGGTTGCGTCCCTGCCGACTTCTTCCCTATCGTTGGTCGGCTTCGCTGCTGCCCGCTCCCCTAACGTCGTGCTGCTCCCATGCCGATGCCTCTTTCGCCGGCTTCACCAGAGTCGGCTGCACCTCCACTGCCCGTCGCTCCCCTGTCGGTGTCAACTTTACTGCGACGCCGAGCTGCTTGACGTTACGTCGGCCACCGGCGATGCTCTTGGCCGGCGCCACAGGCGACGCCCCACTGCTCCCCTTATCGCCAGAGGCCGACACCAGAGGCAGCCCACACAGGTCGGCGGCATAAGGAGGGGTAGGAGGGGCAAGGGGAGGGGAAGAACGGCAGACAGTCTTGATGTTCTCATCAGCAGGCTCGCCGAACTCGGCGAGCAGAGGTAGATTCTCCGTTTAGGTGTCCGTTGGTGGGTTGACTTGCGTCCACCCGATGCCGGCCCATGGTCCGACTTCCAAAACTCCAGCGACATGGTCTCAAATAACACCACGTTATACGTGGTGACGACCCGGTTGTCGGTGATGTCCAGGAGCTCTCAGCCTTTTCTCTCTTCCGACAGGCCAAGAGTAAGGCCCCACCTGGCCTTCGGCTTCAGCTTCCCACCACGCTGCTGCTCAGGGACGAGGAACTGCGCCATGCAGCCCCACACGCAGGCCAACGACAATTTGGACTTCGTCCTGGTGAACAGCTGGTATAGCGTCATTCCCGGCGTTGGCAACGATCTCTCAAGGTAGTTGCAGGCCCAGACGACCTGCCGCAAAGCGAGGTGCCACCAGTGGTGCACATCGTCCGCACCAACTACACCACCGTCTTCATCTCCCGCTCTGCCATGCCGTTCTGCTGCGGGGTGTAGGGGCAGGTCAGGTATTGGACGATCCCTTTTCCGACCACGAAGGCAATGAACTCTTCTCCTGGTCAGAGCGCAGCTGCAGTACCGACTCCTTTGCCTGCCGCTCGACCAACACCAGCCACTTCTTGAACTCCTGCAGCACGTCTGCCTTCTTGGCGGGTCTTGCGGTCCTTCAGCCGCGGGAAGTACAAGCTGTCATCCTTGGCAGACACATAGAACGGCCTGCACAGGTCGATGTGCACGACGGCCAGGGCGTCCTCGGCGTTCGATCCCCTATCGGGGAAGGTGTGCCGCGCCAGCTTCCCACCGACGCACGAGACACACGGCGAGTCCAGGCCAGCCGACGGCTTGATATCCAGGCCGTCGGCGGCCTTGTGCTTCGTTAAGCTCGTGATGGTGTCCACGCTGACAGGCGCAAGCCGTGTGTGCCATCTACACTGTATCGACTTTGTCGCCGAGACGATCGTCCGCAGAGCTACCACCGTGCAGGGGCGCAGGTTGGTGCAGAGGACCCGGCCGGTGCAAGTCGCCCGACCGAGCACGTCCCCTGTCACCGAGCAGCATCCAGTCATCGTCGTCCATCAGCTTCACGCTGCTCTCCTTCAGCTTGCCGGCTGACAGCAGGTTCGCCTGCAAGCCCGGGACGTAGAGCACATCGGGGATGAGCACCTGCTTCCCGGCGTCCCCTTGTAGAGCGACGATGCCATGGCCGCGAACGTTCTGCAAAGCCCCATTGAAGCCGCGCACGTGCTTCACGTCGCCGCTCGGCCCCAAGTCGACGAATGCCTCCTTTGTTCTCATCAGGTGGTGCGAGCAGCCGCTGTCCAGCAGGACCACCGCCGGGTTTGCCTGTGCAGCTGCTGCCACCGCCTGGAAATCCTTGCCGGCCTCTGACGCTAGCGAGACGGTCGGTTCCACGACCCTTGCCACTAGAAGAGGAGTTAGCGTCCTTCGCCGAGGTCGACTTGTTCGACTGCTTCTCCTTGTGCGGCTTATTTCCTCGACGAGAACGACGGCTGACCGATCTCTCGCGGCCTCCCTTAGTGTCGTCTCGTCGGAATTGCTGCGATCGAGGCACTCAAAGGAGAGGTGGTCGGGGCTGCGGCAGATCCACCACCAGTTCCGATGCCGACTTCCTCCTTCTCGACCGCCATCCTGAGCCGACTTCTTCTTGTCGGCGTCCTTCGCCGGCTTCCCACCTCCTCCTCCACCGCCACCAGATGGCCCACGCTGCCCCGGTTGACTACTTTGCTTTGCCAGGGCATTGTAGTTTGCCTGCGGCTGGAGCTCCAAGGAACGCTCAGCCTCCTGCATTACATTGTCCCTGAGGATGAACGAGGTCAGGGAGTCCTTGTTCAGCGTCGCCCGCGTGCCCAATAACACCGACAGCCACTTCATCAAGTTCTAGCTGCTCGGGAGCCCCTTCAGAACGTGCTTGACGTACGACGCCGTCAAGTATTGCACGTCGGCCATCCTCATGTTGGTGAGAAGTCGCCGAGCTCGGTTGCTATAGTCGGTCGCCGTCTCTTGATCGCCCATCCGTAGGCGCGTCATCTGCTCCTCGAGCTTGCCGATGTACTGGTCGTCGGCAACCTGATACGTCGACTCGATGAAGCGCCATGGCTGGTGGCCGGCGTCCAGGTAGTCCTGTCACGACTTAAAGGCGATTTGCACGTCCGGCGAGCAGAACCGCAAGAAGACCATGAAGGTCAGCAACTGCACGACGAGAAACTCCACATGCAACTCGGGGTTGCTCTCCGGGGGCATCGCCACAATGCCGTCAGCAAAGCACTTCAGCCCAGCAATCTCTAGCTAGGGCTCGATGGCTTCCTTCCACGTGAGGATGTCGGGGCGACCGACCAGCGGGGGGATGACAGAGGTCCTATCTGGTGTAAATTTGAAGTAGCCGTAGGATGGCGCTAGCCCTCCCGCCGTCACATGGGTCGTAGACAACGGCATCATTCTGCTTCGACGTCCTCCGAGGTCGCCCTGCGAGGACCCTGCAACCACAGACGGTTTCATCATCCCTCGCGCCTGAATGCCGCCGACTTCATCGGCGTGGATTATTCCTCTCTGCCTCAACGTGCCGACCTGGTCACCACCAGCATTGACGCCCATGTCGACACCACCTTCAGTGTTTCGCCCGTCGAGGAGAGGCAGGTCGAGAAGGGTGCTCCGTCGCCCACATAGCGCGGATGCCAGCCTCAACTACCGCCCAGGGGAGCGTCTCCTCGTAAACGAGAGCCTCATGGCATCTCCTCGCATCCTCCAGCCATGCCTCCAGGATGTCCACCACCTCTGCGTCACCTGTGGCGCCTATCATGGTGATTAATGCACAGTTGCCGGCCTACGAACACAGTAGGTAAGTGACAACAAAGTCGACTAAACCGAATGTATCCTTGCGATGCCGTCCATGCTCACCGCACCATGCGGAGATAACTCTAGCAATGGAACTGGTCTACGGGCTAAGCACAGGGTAGGAATAATCTCTGCATAGTCGTCAACTCGTGCTTACACTACTCGTGCATTCACGGGGAAATTTGGCAATAGTTTTGCAAGCAAAAGTTCACAACAATGGTACATAATGGCAAGGCAACGATGACTATATCTGAGCTAGCATGCAAGCAAAGTACACGGCCAGCACAACATGGTCGACCGCGTTCCAGCACAACTTGGTCGACCTCGCTCTAGCAGCGCAAAGTTGCAGCCCGCCAGCAATGCAAGTCGACGGCGTGCCAACATTGCAGCAATTTGGTTGCACATCGTTGAACCCGTGGAACTGCAGCGCACCCGCTTCGCAGGTTGTCGTGGTTGATTGGCGTCCCGAGCCCTGTCACATATACAGCGCACACACAAGATCATGCTCATGCTAACGACAGCGCCTGATCATCCACGTCGACCACAGGATACCACCACCGAGGTCGGCCTTGCCAAAACCACCTAGGCGACCGTCGCGTGCCTTCGCAAAAACCCGTCGCCCAGGTAACCTGGTCGACTGGGAAACCACCACGTCGACCAGCTCCTCCTGTACTCGTCGACCACCATGGTCGACGACCACCACTGGTCGACCACACCAAATCGACTGCACACCTAGTCCCAGCCCCAGCTCGACCACACTCCTGTCTGCCGACCACCCAAGTCGGCTTCCCTAAGTCGGCATCACCAAGTTGACGCCTCCGATGTCGACTTCGCCAGGTCGACCACCCCGAACTTGGCGCCCTCCCGAAGTCGGCGCCCTTGCAGTGGCCCCCGTGCAGGTCGACTAGCTCGCCCACTGCTACAGGTCAGTTGCACTCCCCGTACACCCGACCACGCAGTCGGCTCCGCCCCAAGTAAGGATGGGGCCTTAGTACGACTCCCGTTGATAGTCATCGCATCGGACATGGTGTTTTACAAGACAATGTTGCTGAAGGTGTGGAAGTCGGAGCATGGATGTGAGAGTACGCTGGCTTTGCTAGCTTGCCTAGACTTCATTATGCTATTACTAGCTCTGGAATTATTTCTCACGCATAGATATGCTTGATTTCCTAAATTAGGGGCTTCCTTCCTTATTTATTATAGTTATAGCACCGAACCAGGTTACGTGTACCGAACTCAAGCCTTTTCGGTTGCCACCGAATTGCTTTCTACCGAGTTTGGGAAGGTTATGTTCGGGACGCTTGTGTAACACCTGGGTTACCTGCCTTGTGTCGAGACTATATAGCCTCGTATTGTGTTGGTGCAACCCTACGGTTTGCACTCGGCTTGTTGTCCGTGTGCGTGCATGCGTGTGTGAATGGAATGGTATGAGTGCTTAAAATAATGTATATTTCATACTTACAATAGTGTGTGAATGATGAGTCGTGATGTCGAATGTGTGTGTGGTCTAGTCAATAGCGAGTTATCGCTAGTCGCGGTGTCACGCGGTCGTTTGTGTCGCGTGCGCGGTATCTATATCGTCGTTTGTGTGTCTCGAACAGTTTCTAGTATGTAGTCTGTGGAACGTTCGGCGTGTCGCAGGTGTGTGCAGCAGACCCATCAAGACACAAGGATGAGTTTGTGATGAAGAACCACCCTTGTTTTCAAGATTCAAGGAATTTCCAAGCCCACGAAAAAGATAAACCTCAAGACTGTGAGAATAGTTACATACGCTCTGTAGTGGTAACATTTCACTTGGTGTAGGCCCTTGTGGAGGGTAGTTTCGAGACTCTTCTTGGTTAAGGATAGTTGTGGCTCTAGTTCACATCAGTGTACCTACCTCGCGCTTGGGGTTTGTAGGAGCCGGGAGTCATTCCAACTCGTAACTCTTCTAATTTCTGTTCTAACTATAGTGGTTGTCATAGCGCCGTTCATTCAAACTGATGTTCCGTCGTCAATGCCTCATGAAATCGTGCGATTTAAATTTCCTATTTTAGGCAACTTTAAGATGCTCCAGATCCAATTTGAAGCAGGTCTTTTGGGAGCCAAGACGGATCGCTATGAACATTTAACCGCTTGGCCGAAATTCGACTGTGCACTTTATCTTTCGTTTGAGGCACATTCAAACATATTGTTACTATAACATATTGTAGCCCAGGTGAATCATTCAATTCAGACCTTCTGTCTTAAAATCGATCCTCGATCCTCACACTTGGTAATCAGAGCCTGTTTACACGCGAAGTTTTTT